ATGAAGGGAACATTCAACGCGTTCAGGAGAGTGTTCAGGAGAATCCGGAAACCTCAACCCGAAGACGTTCTGCTGAGCTGCAGATGTCTCAAAGGTCTTTACGCAGAATATTAAGAGGAAATTTACATCTGTTTCCATATAAAGTGCAGCTAGTGCAAGAACTAAAACCAGCAGATTTTCAAGAACGACTAACTTATGCAGTTCGCTTGCAAAGAATGGCTCGAGAAGAGAATGAATTTATTCATTCTCTGATCATGAGCGATGAAGCCCATTTTCATTTGAATGGCTTCGTAAATAAGCAGAACTGCAGAATATGGGGTACCGAGAACCCAAGGGTGGTTCATCAAAGGCAATTACATCCGCTTAAATGTACAGTATGGTGCGCAGTTACGACTCAACGAATTATTGGACCATTCTTCTTCGAAGACCACGATGGGAATGCTGTATCTGTAGATGGCGACCGATATCGTGATATGATTCAAAATTTCTTAAGACCAGCTCTTGCTGACAATCAAACGATGACTTTCCAACAAGATGGAGCCACTGCGCATACTGCTCGAGCCACTATGCACCTTCTAAGGCAGATTTTTGGCGAACGTTTAATTTCGAGAAATTCAGGATTCAATTGGCCCGCCCGCTCGCCGGACTTAACAGCCCCTGATTATTTCCTTTGGGGATATCTGAAAGGAAAAGTGTATATTAATAAACCCACAACCCTGCAGCAACTAAAAGATAATATTCGAGCAGAAGTAAGTGCTTTGGGGCCAGATATTCTGACTCGGGTAATGGAAAATGCTCTTGCAAGAGCTGCACTTTGCGAGGCTGAAAATGGCGGTCATTTGCGTGATGTAATCTTTCACACTTAAATTGTAAACAAACTCCAAACATTGCATTTTAGTTTTGTGTTAGGGAAAAAAATTAAAATTAAAATTTAAAAAAGTTATTAATTTTTCAAATCCCTTCGCGACTTTTGCCCCACCCTGTACTATCTAAGCTGATGAGGCACTGCAGCTAGGTATACTTCTTGGCGCTGATTTACCTCACTCTCACTGTACTTTTGATGATAATGTTGTAGAATTATAAACGTGACATAAGAATTTTTTTAAATAATATAAATGCTTAGAGATTCTTCCGTTAAATCACTGAAAAACCAGCGGCAATAAAAAAAGCTACTCATATCGGTGTTTTATGAAACAGAAGCGATCGTAGCCAAGCGCTACATTTTCCCCTCATGCAGAATATCAGAATCCTTCACCGGAAAACTCGCTTTGAGTCCCGACAAACGATAAAAAAACGCTCTGTGATGTAACCGATGAGGGTCAGTTTGAAAGGTTCGTTGCTTTTTCAGTCGAAAATTGCTTATCAAATTGCGAACCACTACTGTCTACTGCATTGTTCTGCTGATCGTTGAATGGAACTACATATGTTGGAAAAATAAATTATTCACGTTCCGGTCGCCTCGGTGACCTTATTCTAGGTGATGTAGACTAAAATTAACTGTACTGTAAAGTTTGGCTTGGAAAATATTTAATGTTTTTGGAAAGCGTGATCTTTTGGCTGAGAAAATATATTCTTGCCTAAATTAGATGAAACGCTGCTCTTATTGGTTTTCACTGCAGCCAATCCCCAAGAAGTGAGACAAAATCCTAAAATTTGATTAAGTAATCCAAACATTTATATCGAGTTACTGTATCTTTTCAAGATTGTGGATCCATTTCCAAAGAGTACTGGTTGACGCACAATCCGCTATTGAGCTCTCTAACTACAATGGGTTACGCTCCTTTTTCAACAACATCTCAACACCCTTCGACAGCGGACATGCTGTCACCAGCAGGGGAATTTCGCCGCCAAGACAACGTCGAATAAGCAAACAAAAGAAAAATATAACCAAACGTAAAATATTTTTTCGCCAGATCCCGTAGTGACTGGAGCAGATAGAATTTCCCCTCCTCTCGAAGTTTTGACAGCTTCAAGTTACACCGGGAGTGGTTAGATGGCGCATGTTGCGCAAAATGTTTGCTTTAAGCTTCTTGATAAACTTATATGCCTTCTTTGAATCTGAAATAAAAGGACCGGTCGTTTTTTGTGCAATGTATATATCAATAAAATCAACCGTTCGATATGGAAAGTGCGGTTCCCATATCTGCGATGACCTTCTCCCTCGTTATTTAAAATCAGGTGGACCATACCACGTGATTTTTTTACGTTTGGAGGACGTTACATCCGTCTTCCCCTATTCCCGTTCGTCGCGAAAATTTGAGTATCAGTTCCCGGTATTGCACTGTGCTACATCGTGGACTCGCGAAAAAATTCTTATGGAGTAAAATGACAAACCTTGAGTTGTGACGTCACTGCGAACCTCGCGAAAATACAGCGTTTAAATCAACGTCATTTGCATTGCTCTTTTAAATATTTGATTAAAACGAGTAGAGACATTTTCTGGAATGAAATGTGTACTTACGATATTATGTATTACGTAAATAATTTAAAGAAAATACAGAAAAAGACATGCAGATTCTCTTTTGCGGGTGCGATATAATTGCAGAATAGATACATAGTGTTTCGTTCAAAAAAATGCATACACTATACAAAAAACAACAACGCATTTATCGTCGGTAACATTTGAAGATGTTTTTATCTGCGAAGGGGTGCAATTGCACGAAACATCTTGTATAGATGAAATAAATGCAATTCTCCAGCTCAATAAAATAGAAACGCAGCAACTATGAAATAACAATTAGTCGCATGGAATTTTCAGGATAATTGAATAAAAGACAAATAACACTGCTGGTGGAAATTTCGAATGCACCCAATAAATCGTTGTGGACACGTAGTATAATTTAGATCAAATTTAATACATTTTCGTTCGGCCATTTACGCTAATGGATACCGTAAATTGGAATAACACGAGAGATGTAAAATTTTAGATGTATCAATTTTGTCTATAATCATTTCGAAATGCACCAACGACTATTTAAAATGAAACGTTGTGTAGAAAGCTGTCTATGCTATTCCGTTTGTGTATGGAATTTAATGTACTAAGATCCGAAACTCTGCATTAGACATCAATATTAGGAATACAGCAAATAATTATAAATTTAAGTCACTATTAAAACAAAATATTTTTAGCACACAGTAACAGAAATTGAATAGATTACTTTTACATATTGCTTGAGTAGATTGGTCAATGGCTAGGCACCATTTGCATCATACTTTTTAATGTTATTATGCAATAAATAATTAGACACGATAATTTATAAAAAATTGAAGGAAGTTTAGTAGGACTGAAGGTTTTTTGAAGGAGCAATTCCTTCAAGCTTAAACACCTACTTGCAAGTAAGTAAGATAACCGTTATGAAAGCAATCTGATCGCTATAATTCACAGTAGGTACTAACATTGCTTGAAATATTCTACCTGAAGGTACCCAACCTATACCCTATTTCACGTCTATCGATCACGGCAGAATGACAGCTGATTATCTAGTAATATCTCAAAATCCCCCATATCGGCACAGGACACATAATTCAGACGGATCCGTCAACGTCAGGTAGACAGAGCCGACTTTTATTTTGGTATCTTGTACGCCACAGATTCATTTTGTACTTGCTAACAGCTCTTCTATTTAGAAAAGTTCATTTGCATACAAAAAGCAAAACGCCACAAACAGGTTTTACTAGATTTATACCCGATCCATTATTGCCAACGTTGCAGATTAACACAAAAATTTCACTTGCTGATCGTTCACCTCAGTAGACGTTAAAGCGTGATAGATACTCGTGAAATAGGGTATATGGATCCTATTCGTAGTCCATTAAGCGTTGCAATAGCTATTGGTCATTCGACCATAAAACTACGAACAAGTGCAGGATTCGACAGGATAGAACTCAGGCTCGGGTTATCGCCGGCAGCGGCTGTTCATGTTCGATGCATACATAGCTTGTGTTTATACGTTAGCAGCAGATGAAACTGCAATGCAATGCTTCCTTCAGCCATGCTTCCTCTTCAGTAATGTCTAATCCCCGAAAACGTGACAAGAAGGGACATTTGAATATTCAGACAAAAGAAATTGTCCTTAACGTTTATAAGAGTGAAGTTTTAGAGGATCCTGAAATGAAAATTCATGATATTGGAAGCCGTGTGGCGAACAAAACAGATTTATGTCCAAAGACAATTTTCAACATGATTATAGAAACATAAAAAAATGTCTCCACCACACAAGAAGCTGCATTACACAAAGCTGTTGGATACAGTTGACAACTTTGATCGGAATGCCATCAGACGCAAAGTCCGTCAACTTTTTGAAGGGCAGGAACTTCCCACCATAGACAAAGTATTAGCGGAGGTTAATAGTAATGAAAACTTACCTACGAGTACTTTTAAAAGGACCACATTCTATAGCTTACTCAAAGAGCTTCATATTGAGTATAGAAAATGGGGCAGAAATAGTATCTTGATGGACAGCCAAGCGATTATTTTATGGAGAAGAAAATATTTAAAATCAATACATAAATATCGCGAAAAGGGCAGGAAGCCTTCTTATATGGACTAACGTCTGGCCTAAAGGTTCCGTTAGGTACGAGTATCTAACCAGTTCGTCATTTGTGTTGTAAAAATGGTGTCAAGTAGACTGAATCTATGAGCCCACGCTGAAAACTTAGCTACACTAAGCTTAGCTATATCTGGTTAGATTTGGAGCCAACACCTGTTAGATACTCTGCCTGTATTATTATTAGTTTTCTTGAATGCTATATGAAATAATTATTTCCAGGAAAAGGAAAACGATTTGTTATCTGTTACATTGTCAGTGAAGATGGCTTTATGCCCACTGCCTTATGGGTATTTGAGTCAAAGAAAATGACCGACTACCATGAAGAAATGGACGCGAGTTCATTTAAACGATGGTTTGATTATTTTTTTTATACTCTAACTACCACGAAGGCCTAAGGCACCCATCGGGTACCGTGGGGCTATAGGGGGGTACATGGGAAAGGGGGAACGCCACACGGACTCTGGCGAGGGAACACGTGTGCATGCAACATGCACACATTCTGGCTCCGCCTACGAGAACCGCCGGGTGGTACTTCCGCGTTCGACAGTCAGAGACCGTCTACCACCTACAGACAATCACAACATCCATAGCCAAGAGAAAAATTTCTCCTGGGACGGGACTCGAACCCGCACAGCGCACGGCGACTGATCAGGAGACCGAAGAGTCTACTACTGCGGCCACCGCTGCTGCATACCACACTAGAAAACCAGAAAAAATTCCCACAATGTCCACAAGAAAGGCAGAAATTCAACAATGGCTCTTATTGAAAGATATTAGTTTCAATGGAAATTGGTCAAAGCAGAACTTATCCTTCTAGTCAGGCCGCACAAATATAAATATAATCTTAATCTTTTAAGGCTACCCCTTATCACTGCGAATTAAATCTCATTGAAATGATTTGGGCAAATATAAAAACTATGTGGCTTCAAACAATACAGGTAGATCATTCAAATTTTCTGACGTGAAAAATTTGTTTTATGAAGCTGTCAGCAGAGTGACGGCAAACCATTGGAAAGATTGCATCCGTCACGTTCAGGAGACAATCGACACAAAGATCTAGACAATTATTATCGATATTCAAATTGAACCTGTAGCAATTCATATTAACCATTCGGACGATAATTCAAGTATTTCCAGCGAATAAAGAATTGTGAAAAGTATGTGCACTTCTTTCTATAAAAATAATCATTTACCTTGTTAGATTATTCCAAGACCATTGAGGAAAATACGGACCTGTATAATCTCGCTTTTGGGCATGTTGTGTTTTGTCTGGGCATAAAGGGGGTATAATACTATAATTGTGTGTAAATGAGAGACCGAAGCGTCATCTATGAGAATTTGTCCAGCTCATAAATGGCACTGTAGCCAACATTATAACCAAATACCAGCATATATAGTAGGCAGCTGCACCTATGAGACAATTATATTTTTAAAGCATCTATAGTAAATAGAAACACATCTGTGACAAATTCCCATAGATCATGCAACTCATTTTATCTCGGATAATTTTTTGAACATAAAAAAGTAGTTTAACATAACATAATCAGCCCCTATGAATATAAGTACTAAAATGTCTCCCGTACAGGGGCTGTGAACTTGTACATCACTGATGACGCTATTTAGGGACAGAACCTGAATATTATTCGAATAACGTGAGGTGACACAACTTTCCTAGTATAGTAGAAAATACAATCTTCAATTCTCAAGAGAAACAATTCATTATGTGAGATTGAGTATCTTATTCAAAAATGTAATTTATACTTAAAAAAAGAACAGTATCTTAGGAAATTTGTTTCTTTCCTCACCGGAAATTTTTGTATGTAGTGATCAAGTTGTTTGGACAGCTTGTACAAAACATTCTGTTAATACCTCGCTCCGCTCCAAATTATTATTTTTTATGTTTGCAAAAACAGCATACGCTGTATCTTGATAAGGGTAATTGGGCCTTTTTGGAACTTTTATGATTTCCTGATGCACAGGTATTATCTGTCCTTGAAATATTACCACTGTTTTTATGTGTTACCTACGCTCAACTCATCTGCTTATAGCTTATTTTTGCAAATATTCAGCATCAACGAACTGATAAAAATGCACAGATTATTTTCAAGCACTCCAGAAATGTATATATATATACGCATATTATTCGGTCAGTTCCAACGATTCGATTAGATTAAAAGGAGCCAAGCCCATATGTATACATTGTTTGTCGCCAAAATTGTGTAGTTTTAGTGCATACTTTTGGCTAATTTGCCTATCATTTCCTACCAAAGCGACAAACCAATACATTGTCGTGCATCTTTTCTTTTGAGAGGATATTCAAACAGCCAATCATTTTGGATGTACCCACGTGCAGTAGGACACAAATACTGTACGTGTGCGAGTCGCTCAGTCAATTTTAATAAGCAGGGATAAATTAAATAAGACAAAGAAACGGATGTGATTGCTTACTGTACATCATCTGAACAATTCTGCTTAATTCGTGTTTTCGAAAGCGGAAAAATACGAACAATTGTCTAGTGGGGCACCTTGCTTGATTACTACTCGTTTGATAATATTGCGATCCGAGCAGATTCTTGGCTAAACGCAAAAGCCAAGTTGAGCGTAACATGGTGCTTACTGCTATTACATTATTGTCACTATATTAATCTAGTAAAAAGATCTGTGCACCTTTGCCAGGTCTCAGTTGACCCCATATGACACATATTTCACTATAGAGCCTATATTCCACTACCTAGAATCAAAACACACCAGCTTCTTAATCTGTGTGATAGCTACTATTACTGAGATGTAATAATCATAATTTTCATTTATAAATATTGATTTTAACTTTTTGTTTAAGTGTGCTTTTATGTGTTATGAATTTACTGGTCCATTTACACATCTACACGTTCAAGGCTAATATGCCTTTTGGGGGTTTCTATTTGGTAATTTGCATGATTTTGTATACTTTGTTGTCTTCATGTTAATGATAATAAACCAGATTTGATCGACTGAATCTCTTTTTGTCCGCCGCGTGCATGGCGATCGATTCAGCTCCCCCACTATTCACTCCGCTCTTGGCAAATAAACTGAACTGATCTGGTCGGCTATGAATGAAAGTTCGGGACTGTAAGAAACTTATTGAAAAGAACCTTATGTATAATCGTTATATACCAATATACTCCAAACAAACAAAAAAGTAAAATATTGCGAAGCACATATACGAGTATATGAGAAAAAATATACATAATAGAAATCTGGGACAAAAATATCAAATGTTTGCTCGGATTTGTAAGGAGGAAGGAAAAGATCTTTCTCTCGCAGCCACTGCTATTTGCTTTGATACATATCCGAGAGCCTTGTTGAACACAATAAATTGGTCTGCTTGGTGGAGGAATTTATATTTGTGACTACTGTTATAGTATTTTTAATAAACATGCTTTGGTAATATTCAACCTACCTTGATTTAACACGAGTTTCAAGAAAGGAGTGAAGGCATAGAATACTACCTTAAAGCAACGTAACTGGAGGGCGGAACTCATATGCGAATGTCTCACGATCTATGTTTTCTGATCGTTTCGTCAGTAGCACGTAGCCTTACACGTCAGCAATAATTGCCATCCTGAATACATAGTTAATAAATATCAAATTCTCCGATAAACACCGATAAATCGCAGTAGTGATTGTCTGATTTTCGCCATATTACGTAACTGCAAAATGACAAGCGATATCGATTTGATCGTCATGATTGTCACTCTGTAATCTGCCACTAGCTGTCATTCACTTCGTGTTCTTATTAGCTGTGTTTGTTCCCTAAACGTCAACATTCTTGAGCTATATGGCTCTGATGTGACATAAGATCTGCTTCAGAGATAACATTTAGTCTCGTACCGTCAGTCGTTCCTAAAATAATTTATTGTAGGACGCCTTTGTGGCGTCCTTGATTTTCATAGTTTTATACCCTTCCGTGTCAGCGATCTATTTTGAGGTTATGTTACCAATATCTAGTTGCATTAAACTGTTCATACTTTTGATTTATATCAAAAATATGAACAATTCAAAATATATCGGGAACAACATCGAAGATAAAATTTGTTTTTCGAACATCTGCGGGATTAACAGCAACATTGATGCTGTTCATCACTACCTACAATCCAATCGTCTCGCCGTGATTTTCTGGGCGCAGACAAAAATCTCAGAGTCTGCACAGATTAACCATCTCAACTTCCCAAACTACGAGGTGCACTCCAATCTGTGAAAGAACGATGGAGTTGTGGCTTTCGTCCGCAGCAGACTTTCCTACTCCAGAGATGTTTTTTTGGAATCAGACCGGAAGGACATTCTGTGACTTCGCCTCAACTCCAAAACATAACCCAAATTTATTTTCTGCCTTTATCGCTCTTCTTCGGACCATAACACTGGGATGACCTACTCGAATACCTCGCCGTCCAGATCTACTTCCTGAACATCAATCACCCCGCTTCAGAGGTAGTTCTTCGCGGTGATTTCACTGCCCACAATGAGCTTTGCTTGGGCTCAGACAAGACCGATGCAGCAGGTCGTGCAGTCGAAGCGTTCGCTCTTACTCAAGGGCTGACCCAGCTTACGTGTCAGGATCGGACTATTGTATTCGACTCAAAGGCTAAGGCCGAAGTGCTAGCCAAGATCTCTGCTGCCAACTCCACCATGGACGTCCCCACCAACGCCCAAGTGCCGTGAATTCAAAGGGTTCCCCACACTATGCGTGAGGTAACATTCAGGTATAAGACCGTAAGACGAGTGCACTTGTCGCTCGACATCACAAAGCTTCTGGTCCGGAGTGGATTCCTGCCATGGTACTGAAGAGATGTGCAGCGGATTTTGCTCCAGTTTTTTCGCGTCTCTTCCAGATGTCTTATGAATCCGGCACCTGGAAGTTTGCTCATGTCCGACCCATCCCAAAAAAGGATCTAAGACCGACCCTTACAACTACAGGCCTATAGATCTGCTTTCTAAGTAATGTGATGGAGAGGTGCATAAATCGCGAACTTCTGGACTACCTCGAACGTCACAGCTTGATTAGCGACAGGCAGTATGGTTTCCGGCACCAACGATCCACGGGGACCTCCTAGCTTACGTCACGCAATTGTGGAGTAAACCCATCCAGTCTTATGGTAAGGCTCATGTCGTTACTGTTGACATTACGAAAGCGTTCGATCAGTTGTGGCACGCTGCCCTCTTAAACAAACTTCCATCCTATGGCCTCCCAGAAAAGCTTTACAGATGAGTGGCTGACTATCTCTGGCCGCAAGATATCCGTCGTAATTGACGTCAACGCGGGATCGGTCTTGGCACCAACACTTTCTCTTACATATCAACGACCTCCTTTCCAGCACGATTAACCCAAACCACAGCCAGATAAGGCCTAGCCTCGAGTATTGCTCACACATTTGGGATGCTGCCGCCCCAACTACATTATCCATGCTCGATGCTGTCCAGAGAAGGGCGGTCCGACTGATCGATGACTCTTCTCTAACAGACAGTCTCGCGAGTCTTTCGCACCGGGGGGCCGTCGGCGATCTAGCTCTTTTCTATCGCTGCACCAACGGGCTTTGCTCCTCAGAGCTCTCCTCCATGATTCCGCCGCGCGATGTGCCTGCCAGACAGACCCGCCTGACTTTGGCGTCCCATCCTAACCGTGTCGAACTTCGTACATCCAGAACTGGCCGATACAACCGCTCATTTGTGCCGAGGGTCTCGAGATTGTGGAACAATCTACAAGAGGAAGCTTTTCCCAGTTCTACTAACCTTAGGCAGCTCAAAAATCGTACTAACAAAATTTCTTTGGGATCATCATAACAGCCGCGGTGTTCCGGCATTTAGCCTTCTGCCTGCGCGGCTGCTTCGATGTAAAAAAAATAATTTGTTACATAGCCTGAAAATTCCTACAATTCAAGGAGAAAACAGCCTGACAATAGGAGAGCGCTGAAAGAGCGCTGAAGCTGACACGGAGCGGTAGAAATCTGGAAAT